CATCTGTGTTTGCTTCTGGGGATCTTCCATTGTCTACTTCCATGATTTCAGGAGCAGTCAAGAATATCCGGAGTCTTTTTGTGCTCGCTATGGCTGCTACCAGATAGAGGATTGTCGTAGGCAATACATTCATCGGTATAACTAGCAGATTAAAGAGAGCAAGTGAGGAAAACGCGATGTCTGGCGTCAATGGAGTAGGACTAAGTGACGAGTAAACAACAAGTGACTGAAATAAATAAATTACGCAATACATGCATTAATATTTGTGTTTATGTAATTACATCTGAACATAAAAAAATATTATCTCTTAAATATTATCTTTTAAATCCACGAATAACAAACATACACCGTTTTAACTTTTGAAAACATACTCACAATGAATGTGATGAGAACTGGGAGAGCTTGCGCTTGGATTGCTGCAAAATAAAGATAACAATATGTTAAATTTCACATTCAATAAAGCAATACAATCAATGAAAAATGACAAAAGCTAGAATAATAGAGAAATAATTCCATCTGATTTTTTTTGAAACACCCTGGACGTTCGTTCATAACAAGGATATACATATTGTAGTCAGAGGTGAAATTAGGCGTTTTTCCTCTTCAGCTGTCAGTCATATTTTCGTATACAAGACTAAATGTACTAAGGATTGAATGTACTACTTGATCACCCTTGATTAGGCTTTCACTGAAACGCAGATTTTCACCAACGAAAAATACTTGCTTCATTTTGAACTTGATGGAAACACTATGTAACAAACTTTGGGATTCGAATCAATGTTCAAAAAATTGATAAAGAAGGAAATCCGCAAACAAAATAATCCAATTGTATGTTGATGTATGGAACCAACAAGTAATACTCCGGACACTATAATTAAACTACAGTTCACAAAGAAGTGAAATCAAGCGTGATAGTCACCGTAACATGCCATGTGACGAACGAATTTGTAAATAATGTGACATTATGCAAATTATGAAATGCACATAAACATGCTTTACATGAATATAGGTAGAACGTAAGGTTCCAGGTTTTAACTTCTCTGAATTTATTTATTGTATTATTATTAATACCTACACGTGAAAATCATGAAGACGCCATATTTCAACATTTGGCTGACTTCACTTGTACGCACAGTCTCAATAGCAGATGAAAACAATTCTTCCCATCCGTAGAGTTTCAGTAACTTGATTCCTTGCAATAACTCATTAGATTTCCGTAAGCGTTGGTCGGAATATTTCTTGAGAGATTTAAATAAAATGAAACGTAATAGA